AACCATTCTTCAACAGAATGTCAAAAATCTCGAGAATCAACAGCCAAATTCGTGCCCTTTGCAACGAAGTCCATACGGCGAACTACATGTAAAATCTATAAAAAATTCGTAACTATAAGAAAATCGAAAACCATTGGAGACCTTAATCGAAAAAAACCCAAAACAAACAGTGAACTTGCTACTCAATTTCCATTACTGATCTCACTCTCTACCGCGCATACACTAATTCAATCATCGTCATCACAGGCCCGTTCATATGCATCAATTGTTGGAAATGTCAATATCGTTCAAACAACGTCTCTCCCGATCGCCGATGCCAACGTTTCTAGAAGAATTTAGAGCGATTATCAATCCATTGATTTCTCTTTTAACTTCCACTCTGCAGGTATTAACTGTCAGTCTACAAAATAATAAACCATTCGTTATCTAAGAATTGTTTTTTTCTCATTTTTATTCAGTCAAATTAATGTATTTTCTCTTTTTATTTTATTAAGAACATTAATTGTAATAATATCTATCGATGTCGAGCCGTAATACTTTTTGGTAAAAGCTAACAAAAAAAAAAAAAAAGATTGGCCAGTACGATTTCGGGAAATTAGGGTCCTTGGCTGGTCTTTTCTTTATTACAACCAAATCCACTTTTTACCGTGCCTGAGGAAATGTATTGGACTCGAAGCAATCAATGACAATTTTATGGAGATGCATACCAATTTATGATGAACCTTATTTGGCTGCTTTAAAGCGTGTGGCGATATCTAATTTAAATATCTTAGAAAACAATTTAAATAATGATTTTGCCGCTAAAATGTTAGAGTAAACGGTAAGATGTTGTTGCAATAGCACGTTTTCTTACCCTGAAGACCCTTTTGCATAACACTGAGAAAAACTAAAATCGCTCTAACTTAGTGAGCAAAGAGAGTATCGTCTTGAATTCGACATCAATCCTCTCATTTAACTATTTTAAAACGATATATGTGGGCTTCACAAAAAACGAACACGAATTATATTGAATATAACTAATATTATGTATTTGGGTCATGGAATATAAGTATGTTATACCTAAGTAATAAAAATAGTATAACCTTATATGGTAGTATATGCGAACAAAATAGAAATCTTTATGTAATATTTAAAAGTTGTTTAATACAAGGACCAATTTCATTTATGACCTAGATTATATCACATATAAGCCATAGTATTAAGGTGTTGGATTATCACTCTATTACGGACATTGTTATAACTGTAACGTACGCTGTATATACTATTCTTTATATTTATACTGTGTGTTTTACGGATCGATTCAGAACGGATTTAGATTTGGATCGACTTGAAGAACTGAAAATAATGGTAAACGACATGAATCAATTACTTGTTGAATTTACCACAGCCTTCTTGCAAGATCTCATAGTAAACGATTGACAAAAATGAATTTTTAGCGTTAACGAAAAAGTCTTAGGGACATCAGTATTTATAAGTAAAGCCTTAAAAGCAAACACTACTAAAGCACTGGCACTTATGGAATTATGTGACATAGAATGAAATCCAGTTTGGCTAAATCCCATAAATTCCACGTATTATTTAATGTATTTCATTTAATTATACGGACGAATGTGCAATATAAATACAATATAATAGTAGCAGTAGTACCACAAATATATAAATAATAACTGAAACATAAAAATAGAGAACACTATAAGAATATAACTGAATACAATATAGAAAATAGTTTTATATAAAAACAATAAAGAGAATATAAATCACATAAACAGGGAATTTTTGGCTAATTTATCGCAAGAGACATAAATTATATTTTATTGGATGATTTGGCATATTGTAGTTCTGAGGTAAATGATGCATAATAAATAATTGGTTGTTCCGAACATTATGATTGTTTACTTTAAAGTTTATTAGGCTTAAAAGAAAAGAATCAGCAATTTCATTATTAAGAAACATAAAAAGACGAGTTCAGCATGCAGCGACTACGTGAATTTAAGGATTCCATTTTTAAGATACTAAGAAAATTTTCATACACAGAATGGAGGGTTTTATTTTGAATATAAAGCAAATAAATTTAAGGACTTTATTTTGTATTTTCTCTATAATACGATATAATATTAAGAGTATAATATAAAGATTTTAAAAATTGCTTTTATATATGTAACAAAGTTTTAGCTGTCAATAATAAAGTTCTGAGTCTTTACAACTAAATCTAAATAATAATGATTATTCAGAAATTCCTAAAATCTAGCAAGACTCGACAAGGACAAAACAAGAATAAACACAATTAAAAGTTTGCAAAAAGTCTTACATTTATTATCAATCATAAAATCAAACGAAATGTTTCATTTTAAGTGAATACAAGTAACATAACAGTAAAATATTTAATAAATAGATAGGTACTTGATAACTTTCAATCTTGGTAAGCGCAAAAATAACCAAAACTATAATTATATTTTGAATGTGTTAAGTGACTTGAGCTCGAGCTGGTGCCTCCAAATACACACAGCGAAAATCCTACAGCAAAAAAGAGTTATAAAAAAGTTTTTAAAAAAAAATACATATATCAATTGTACTAACTTTGCCTACTGAATTGCGAAAGCCAGTAATACGAATGTACAGTATCAACCTGGCATCAAAGTCCAACACCTGCCAAGATCGTGCCAGCTCCTCAGATTTGTCTACAAGGATTTCCCAATATTCATTATCAACAGAGGCTTCAATTTTGTAACCGTAGGCTTGGTCATTGCCACCCCAAAGCAGCATCCTGGCAATTGTGGCAATAATAATATTGTCTTAGTTCAATATCTATATATATATTTATAAAAATTCAGCTTGCAGAACTCAAAAAGAAAACGGTGGATTTTGATGCGTTTTTTTTTTATTATCATTTAAAAAATGTATTCCGAAAAGTTTTCATGGATTAAATTTTAATATTATAATGTCAAGGAAAAACTAAAGAGACATAAAATCATATAGTAACTAGAGATATAAGTCTCTAGTTATTATAGTTTGGCCTTAACGTTGATTAATAATTCAAATTTTCTCCCCCTATTTTACATCCTAAAGTGTGGAAGTTCTAACAATCCATTCTTAATGCATGCTTACATTATAAGACGACTATCCTTTAACGTGAGTTAGAAGCAATCACTATGATAAAATATGAAATATATAATTAATGTGTTTAAAAAAAATTAAAATCAAAGTTAAAATCTTATTTTTTTTTTTTAAAAAGTTGCTTACAAAAGTTTAAAACAAATTTTACAGTATGATGATGAATGATGATTAGGTATGATAAGAACAATAGCCCTATCTTATGTTACTGATATTATCTTTTATAAGTTAAACTTAAAAAAACCAAAAAAAACTTGAATGTTGGGAGGGTATTTAACTTGAAATTCTTTTCACAGGCAACGCCATACGAGTCATCAATTATTCATTTTTAGATGTAAACGGGATAAACGAGTTATAAATTAGAGCATAATATGTTATAATTGTAATTTGGTATAAATAAATAATTGTATATCTTGCTTGAAATACTTCGCAATATTATACTACTAGAGGGCACGGGAAACGCCATGCGGGTACAGCTAGTAATAAAAAGTCACGAATAACAGATACTGCGGCCAATATCTTATTTATGCTATAAATATCCTGTAAATGTTCTAATTAAAATTAGAATCAAAATGATTTTAATTTTGTTATTTTTATTAATGTTATCTATTTGCTAATTGTTTTAATGAACTACAGACCAGTTTTAAAATATAAAAATAAACAAGAATTTATACTGTATTGATAAGTTTAGCTAGTACAAATGCAATAATACAAATTGAGGGAATGGGTGCAATCCTGAGAAATAAATTAGGATCTTCGAAAAGACATACAATTTAATTAAGTAAGATTCTAATAAAGAGATGTTTTGCACTAGTTGGAGACTTAGGCTCTGTAAAGGAAATAAGAAACACGTCTTGCAGAGTTTGATTGAACAATTTAAAGGGAAATTATTTATAGATAGTGTATGACTTAAAGAATTTATTCCAACTACCGGAAATGATAAAAAAAAAAAATTTCAAAAAAAGGTATATGTTGGCCTGGTCAGCATAGTACATTAAAAAGTACTATAAATAAATAGTGCTATAAAAATTGCAAGATATTTATACTATTACCTTATTGAACTAAGTATATACGGTTGTACAAGGTGAACCACTATAGAACTCGATCCCATCCAATGCCATGTGTATTCTTCAAACCTAGACGAGCTTTCACAGTAGTGATCTAATAGCGAGCAATCACTGACACTATTTGTACTTTTGATTACAGACGCATTCATATATCTTGAAGCGACATTATACATGTGCTTAGGAGCTTGATTAAAATAAATAAATTAAACAAATATGTATTTATACATAAATAAGCATATTTTTGTATTAAAAAAATTAGTCACTCCGTTGGTTTTCTTACCGACTAATCCATTTTCGATTTCCACCATGTGCATTTCGCGTTTATTGTAACTGACATCCCTAATTTTAAAAAGCACATGGGAGGTTCTTTTGGTTCCAACGAAGCGTATATACCGAACCATGCGTGGATGAATCCACAATTTTTGAATTGATCGACAATTATAATTTGAGTGATCTAAAACATATATCCATTGGCGCTCATCGAGTGAAACTTCAATTTAATAAGAGTAAACCTAAAGTATCAAACAATTCGAATAACTTGTAAAGTAGTTATTTGTAAAATAGCATAGAAAACTAAATAATGGGAACAGAGCTGTAGAATAATAAAAACAAGTTATAGACAACATTGTTCAATTATTATTTATTAAGAACTAAATTGATAAATTTGTTTGGTTTACCTAAAATTAAATCAAATGCTCATAAAACAAAATAGTTGTACATAAACGAAAATCAATTATTAATCAGTTCATTAGTTACGTATGTTTTGAATAATTATTCAAACACATTTTATTTATATATAATAGCCATTTTAATTTAAAATATTTATAAATTCAAAACATACTTTGGATTCGTGGCAATTCCATCTGATAACAATAATTCAATATAGTTTATAAATGAAGGATGGTCCAACGTTAACATATAAGTACCGCCATCATTGCCACGGATTGGAGGATAACTCTGAGACTCATTAATAAGATTCACATCGGGTTCTAAAAAATGAAATAATTGAAACCAACATAATTGGCGAATTACAAATTGATGTGTACAGCAAGCATACTTAGTTGTCCGCGAAGTTTAGGCTCATCTGGTGACCACGTGTTTTTAAATTGTATGACATTAGAAACTGTACTGCCCACTTGTGATTTCCTAGCCTCGGACAGTTCTTCATCACTCATTAACGGATACCTGACGGCCGATAAAACTCTGATTTTAGTATCAGGATCCACGTCGATTTGGTTCTCATTGATCCAGCGACAAACCATACGGAATATAACCAATTCGTTAGCACAAAACGAGTCACGTTTTAAGATTTCATGAAGAGCTTCCTAAAAGCAAAAATTGTTTCTCAACTTTTCAATTAACAATAACAATGCCATTTTTTTATTAAAAAAAAAAACTCATTACGGATGACAAAGAAAGAAAATTATCTGATTGCAATACATCCAAAGAATGGATATCAATAAAGTAGATTGATTCGACTTCAAGATCCTTGTATTGATAAAGCCGTGTCATATCAAAGAACGAACATACATTGTGTACTTCTATTTTTTTTTCAAATACTCGCCTAGTAAGTGTTTTAAGTTTAAAAAGATAAATAAATCCGAAACACGTCTTAGTTCGAAAATCTCACTACCCTAAAAAATAAAGAATAAATAATGTAATTTATCTTTTTTTATTTACCTGTTTTTCGATTAAACACATAATTTAATTTAACAGTCCAAACACATACTATCCAAACGATCACACAACCCTAATACTAATTATATTGTGCAAGTAACCACTAAGCTTAACTTAATAACCACTAAGCTACGACGATTATTCGTTACCTCTAGATCACTTAAATTTATTCGACCAGTATAAATAAATTTCAAGAAGTATTTTAAATGTGGTTAATGGGACTTCATTAATTTCCATCGTAGACTGATTGGCTTCTCTAAGGCCTCCGTAAAATGCTCTCCTAAGAATAATACACACTATTACTACAAACGTTAATTTATGGAGTGATATGTTACCCTTTTGATGGGTAAGCTAGACAATTGTACTTCTGGAATGATGAAACCATTTATTTTGAGTATCCCCTGAGGGGTGAGACTTATGGTCCGGTTTGACGTTGAATTCCCCATAAACAGGTGAATAAAGATTAAAATTATGCTCGACTCTCAGATTAGATGTTCAAAAATTAAAAAAAAAAAATAATAATAATAATAAAACAAAGTTTTCACCCGCCCAAGAAGAAAGGCCTAAGGAATTATACTTAAGGATAAGAAAAAAAATACCTAAAATATTCGCTGCGTAAAGCTAATACAATACGATGGGCGGCAATCGTTTTCCTCCTACAATCAAATCAACACCTGAAAAGCTGAAACATTTATCGAAATGGTTTAATAATATTAAGTATCACTTAACGATGAGTAATGGTCTAATCCAGATAGTTTTCTAAAGAAATTGTCTTATTTTTAATTAAATTATCGAGTAAAACTTAGGGTAAGCTAAACAATATTGTACTCATATCATTTTTGAAATGATGAAACCATTTTTTTGAGTGCCCAAATAAATGGAACAATTATTTTCAATTTTATAAACGACCATCGGCATATTCCATTTAGTTTCACAATAATTAAGACGGTAGCAACGTCAAGAGTAAGTGGAAGTAGATAACAAAAAATAGGGGTCTCATTTTAGGTTATATCGAACAAGAAACGTTTGACGTTGGATGCCACGTATACAGGTAAATAAAGGTTTAATTTTTATCCAACTTTCAGACTTGATGTTCAAAACTAGTGGTTCCAAAAGTAAAAATTATAATAATAATAAAGCAAAGTTTTCACACGCCCAAGAGAAAGGCCTAAGGGATTATACTTAATGATAAAAATTAAATACCTAAAATATTCACTGCGAGAGGCTAATACAACACGATGGGCGTACAATTGTTTTCCTTCTACAACCAAATCAACATCTGAAAAGCTGAAACATTTATTAAAACTGTTTAATAATATTAAGTATCACTTAACCATGAGTAATGGTCTAATTAAGATAGTTTTCTAAAGAAATAGTCTTATTTTTAATAAGTATCAATCCTATCTCAGTGACTTATAGTGATTAATTTAAAATAGAAAAAAATGTAATTAATGAATAATTTAGTGTAGGAAGAAGATATAGACCAGAAAAGGGGGAGAAGATAAACGTATTTATTTTGACTGGTCATTCGATAGTTTTGAAATAACACTTTTATAGTTTTTCGCCATTTTGTATACCTAATTTAAAGCAAATAAGAATTATTACAACAATTGGTGAAACGAAACACACTAACGGCCTACTTTAGTTTACTATTTTTGGGTATGGTTTTACAAAAGTACATACAAGACAAACTTGCTCAATTGTTATAATATTAACTTAATAGGTTCAAATTTAATACCGCATACCTGTTGCTTATGTCGCTGACCAAGAGTTGAGTATGATCGATTTCATCCACACCGTGCGCTTTAAATAAAACAAATAAAATAATTGATTTTTTGGACGAGTTTGTATGATTTATTTATTCAGGTAGGATTCACCCATCCAATTTTACATTTTTTAACCTTTTGTTTATTATATACTTAAAAAATAATTATCATGATAGTTTTAATAGTTGTAAAAACTCTAGCGTTTAGCCTAAAATAAAAACAATTTTAACGGGTATATTATAATTTTACCTTGATAATAGTTTAAATTTTAAATTTAAAAACTAACTCCTAATAATGAGGGTTAGTGAACATTTAAGTCTTACTTGAAATGTATAGTGTTGTTGATTTAATTTTTGTTAACATTTTAGTTATATTATTATAAGGTAGCCAAAAATATTCAATTTTTTATCTATTAAATTAAAAGCAATGTCAACTTTTAAAACGTACACATTAAAAATAATTCTTATTCCTTTTAAAAGTCCATCTGCATATTCAATTTTATTTCAAATTCTTTAAGATTTAATCAAATAGTTATCATCAAATAGTTTTCATCTTCCCAAGTTCTATCTCTAAATGAATATGCTTAAAGATAAGACCACACAGAAGTAAATACATAGTTTGTCCCACAAATATAATGGTCAACAGAATAGGGACACACTAAAATGTTTAGTTAAAGTAACTATACATTTAGTCCGGCAAGCTAAATGTTTAGGTAGGCCAACTCTTCATTTAGTTATTCAAACTATAAATTCATTGTGTCCTTATATTAAGTATAATATTAATTGGACCAACTATGTATTTCTTTTCGTGCACCCAGTATAGATGAACAGGGGGGGGGGCATTATTTGTAAGATGCTACCCGGAACCTACACGATAGACCCTGTATAAAAAGTTCAACTAAAAAATGGACTGTCTATTACTAAAATTTTAGTAAAAAAAAACGTTTGTGTTTGATGCTATAAAAATACTTCGCTATTGAACAAACAAAAAACCAATGACGTATAAGATAATTTTACTTACTGTCTGACTAGACTCTAAAAACAATGTTTTCTACTTATAAACTCAATTACGCTGTTGTTCAAAGTAATCCAGCGTATATTAATTAACGACTTATATTATACAGGTGAATTATTGTATCATGGGGCACTCAATACCTCGCAGGGTTTAATTAATAATCGAATTTTTTTACATAGTGTTTTTATATTATGTGATCTCAGTTTTCCGTACATTTGTATGTTCCTACCACCATCCCAAATTAGTTTTTTTTTTATAGAATTTTTTGAAAAAACATATCATCCCATTTGAAAATCTAAAGTTGCTATCGAAAAAACTGGCGTCTCTCTCTCAGTCTGGGTAATACCGTGATAAAAAAAAACTCTGACTCGACGTTGCCAACAAAATGCACACGTGGATGATAACATTTACAAAAGCTTATTAGCTGTTGGGCTTGGGCCAATGACAAGTCAAGGAAAGTTATGATTCATTTATTCATTTTTATAATATGAGTCGTGTCCCTCGCACATCACACAAATGCAAAATGTACACTATAATGCAAATGTACAGTAAAAATTTAAATATAACACAAACAACAATATCATAGCACAATAACACAGATATAAAACATAACAAATAGGCTGAATTCTCTAGTAAATTAAGCAATAATTTCTTAATGTAACATTTTATGAATCGTTTCAACCATAATTAGTGTTATGGTAAAGAATAAAAAAAAGACGAACAAAAACGATTGTATCAAATAGATAATTTAAAAGAAATTTCTACAGAAGGGAGGAAACTTAAACTTACCTGTTAAGAAATAACAAAATTATAAATTTTTCAAAGTAAATGAGAATTTTTATAAATATTTCTGTGATCAAAGTTTTATTTTTTAGTTCTTTTTTAAACCACTCACAATGAACGAAACCTTACTATATATAAAATGTTGCATTTGGCTAATGAATATTTCACCAATAGTTTTTAGATATTTTTAACATGAACTATTTTGGGCTGGTTAAAAACAACAATTTTCGCAGACCAAAAGCGTTCCAGTATATTTGTTTATGTATTATTCTATCTATTCTTACTATAGAGCAACAAAATACCGTAGTTAGCGATAAGTTCCATAATTATTAGGTATGTACGTAACTTATCGATTAGAGACTACTGCGATTAAATTATAAAGAATACAACTATCTAGATGTTTATATAATATAATATGTACTTGGAGTTGGCCATAAAATAATATAGGCTAAAAAATAATGCAGCATGCTATAATACATGTTAATATAATATCAAATGTTGAACACTTTACTAAACACTATTAAAAAAATCTTGACAATAGATAGTGTAAATCAACTTGAATAAGTAGTACAATGACTCTACACTTACCAGGCTGTTATAAACGAAAAAATAATGTGCACATGCATTGTTCAAATAATGAAAAAATTAAGTTTTTATACTTAACGCAAAAAATATTAACATTATACGTGTACGAATTTATAGGTTTTAAAAAACAACAGATGTTATATTTCTTTTACATTGTATAAAAGTCATTCCACATTTTGTGATTCGAACATACGAGTACCTATAAAATGCATAATATTCAAAAGTCAAAAAAAAAAAAAACAATAGCGGCTCTCTTTTTTACAAAGATTAATTATGTTTTTTTTTTTCGAAATATCAAGCCAAATTCTAAATAACGAGACATTTTTTTGTAAACTATACAGGGTTGTCCACAATGATTTGACAAATGAAATAACTCATGTTCTAGTGAATTTTTTTAAAATTCATTTATACTCTCTTGCGCTATAAGTACCACGATTTACATTGCACTTAATTCGGAGAAAAATAACTTTAAAAGTATTATAATTAGAAAATTGCTATATGTGTTCACCTTGAAATTAATAGGCATATGAAAAATGGCTATTGGATCAATTTTTGCCAAATATTGCCTATTCTTTGCCCCTTAATAAATAATTTATATAAGTAAAATAGTTAAATGCAATAAAAAACGTAGTCCTTACAGCGCAAATGAGTATAAAATATTAAAAAAATATATATATTCACTATAACAAAACCTATTTAATTTGTCGAATAATTGTGGGCCACTCTGTATACCGAATGAAAAAAATTACTAAACGTAAATTTACTAAAAGTAACCAATATTGAATATAGTGACCGCGGTAAAAGTCACAAAGGCTTATATTTAAATTGGTTTGTAAGCTAGTATATCAAGTGTACATAGACCAGTACCCAGTGCTT